GCTGGTGTTATTTTGATAGGGATTGCATTGAATATGTAGACTGCTTTGGGCAATATTGACCTTCAGTGATATTCTGCCAACCCATGAGCATGGAATATTTTTTCATATTTTTGTGTCTTATTTAATTTATTTCATAAGCTTTCTATAGTTTTCAGTGTATAGATTTTTTTTTACCTCTTTGGTTAGGTTTACTCCTAGGTATTTTGTGGGTTTTGGTGTAATTACAAATGGGATTGATTCCTTGATCTCTTTCTGTTGCTTCATTATTGGTGTGTACAAATGCAACCAATTTCTGTGCATTTGATTTTATATCTTGCGACTTTGCTGAATTCAGGATCAGTTCTAGCAGTTTTTTGGTGGCATCTTTTGGGTTTTCCATATAGAGTATCATGTAGTCTGCAAAGAGTGAAAGCTCGAGTTCCTCTTTGCTGATTTGGATGCCTTTTATTCCTATGTGTTATCTGATTGCTGAGGCTAGGACTTCCAATACTATGTTGAATTAACAGTGGCATGAGTGGACATCCCCATCGTGTTCCTGACCTTACAGGGAAAGCTCTCAGTTTTTCCCCATTGAGGATAATATTAGTGGTGGGGCTTTCATATATAGCTTTTATGATCTTGAGGTATGATCCTTCTATCCCTACTTTCTTGAGGGTTTTTATCAAGAAAGGATACTGTATTTTGTCAAACGCTCTCTCTGCATCTGTTGAGAAGATCATGTGGTTCTTGTCCTTTGTTTTATTGATGTGATGTATCACATTGATTGTTTTGTGGATATTGAACCAGCCCTGTTTCCGAGGTATAAATCCCACTTGGTTGTGTTGAATAATTCTTTTAATGTATTGTTGGATCCGGTTGGCTGGTATCTGGAAGATTTTGCATCCATGTTCATCAGGGAAATTGGTCTGTAGTTCTCCCTTTTGGGTGGGTCTTCGGTTTGGAATCATAACCACTTTTTTCTCATGATCTTTTCCCTTTTAACCCACTTATTTCCATCATATTTGTAAGCCATCCACCCAGCATGCATCTCCAACTCCCTGAACTTTCTGGCACACCTTGCCCCTTGTGTTCTTAAATCCTGCCCTTCAACACTCTGTGACTTTAGCCTTCTTGTGTCTTGTAACCTCTTTCCTCTCCTTCCATGTCCTGGGCTGTCTGCACCATTACCTATACACCCCTTCCCTTGCTCTCACTTTACCTCTCTCTCCCCACTTCCCCTTCCCATCCCCTCACATGCACACATGCATGGTCACTCTCCTGATATCACAGCTCTGCAGCTATGTGCCTTGAATGGAAATGACAGTGCTCACAGCACAATTGAAATGTTGTGCTTCGTAAATACCCTCTTTACAGGTAATTGGAGGGATGGAAGGAGTAACAAAGGTGAAAAACGCCCTTTTTGGGGCATCTAGTGGTGTGATGAAACTATTTTCCATTTTTGAACATCTTATACAGATACACATGCGATGATGGTGTGTGACTTTGTGCAACTGCGTGTCATAGGGTGTACAAATGCAAATATGTATTGATATGTGTGGAGCCATGGAGGAGTCTGAGTTTATAAAGCAAAGTCTATGTAAGTGTGTGTGTGGTTAAGTATGTGAGGGTGTGTGACTGTATTTGTGTGGGTGTACATGCACATGTGTGTTTGCATGTGTGTAAGGGTATAAATTAGAGTGTGCGTGTGTGTGTGTGCATGTGCGTGTGTGTACTAGAGCTTGTCCACCATTATGGTATTAATCCCTGACTTTGAAATTGGGGTTGCATTAAATACTATATGTGGATCATAGTGGGCATTTGTAGGAAAAAGCAATGGACTCATTAGAACTCATAGGTTTTTTGTTGTTGTTGTTGTGGTTGTTGTTAATTACAGAAGAAAACAAGGCTCCTTATGAAAATTCAGGAAAAATAAATAAATAAGGGCATGAGACTGGTAATCATTCAGTGTTCTAGAATTGAGGAATGACATTGGCTTATCTCATAGCTGAAGCAATTGTAAGAATTATCTGTACAAATCATCTGATCCTGCCTGTAAAGCCATGCTTTATTATCAAGTTCATAAACCTCTATCTTTCAATGGATTTTGTTCTATTTATAATTCATATCCCTACTGGGGGTGATAGGGAAGAGTGAATATGGGGAGAGTACATATTGTTATAAGTTTTCCACATCACCTAGACTTCCAAATCAATTGCCATTGGGCTGTGGGTTTCTCGTCCAGAGATTTCCAGTGAAAATTGTCATCTGTGCTTCCTTGACATCTATCAGTTTCAAAATCCTTCTCAGGTATGTTATCTGTTTCCACTACTCTCCCGTTAATTAAATGATGGTGTGGCTTAGTGGTTTGAAGATTAAGACAGAACTCACTTTAGGCGGTGGGGGGTGGGGGGGGAGACTTTTCTGGAGAGCAGAGAATCCAGTGAGACACATGAGCTTCCCCTGCCAGCTTCTCACATGTCAGACCTCAGAATTTCTTGCTCCTTCCATCCGATACCCTGTCTGTCTCCAGGGATAAAAGGAAGAGCTTCTTCCAAACTCCATAATGATCTCTTTGGAGATAATACCTACAAACTTGTAATCGCCTTTTTGGTAATTGGCAACTGATGAAAAAAAAGTTTGTCACAAATATTCTCAGTTCGCCAAGGCTGTTTTTTCACTGCAGCTACAGGTGAAGAGACAATGCAGTTCCACAGGGAGGCGATGTCACAGAACCACAAACACGTATCTAGTGGTCTGGCTGCCTCCCTATTCCATATGCTGGCTGTTGCAACTGTCACTCTGACCTCCATGCTGACAGCCAGAGGAAGTCAGGTGAGTATTTTCTATTTTGGTCTGAGAGGTAGAGTCTGCAACCAAGGAATGGTATCAGGAGTCTGGGTAAGCGATCATCTTGGGAAAAAAAGATTCTTCTGTGCTTCAACCTGGTCCAGAGCCAAAGACACGAGGGAAGGAAGCATAACTCTGAGGCTTGAATTGAACTAGTAAAGAGAGAAGGGGTTGTAGACATTTACCAATCTTTGATGGCTCCTGATGTGTTTAGTGTAATCCTCACTGAAAGTGACTATTGCTATTTAATCAAGTGATAAGGAAACCTGGTTCCTAGTGTTCAGGACTGAACTACCAAAATCAATCTGTTGTTCCCGCTATGTTACAGGAATCACAGACTAAATTCTCAGGATTGCCAGAGGTGCCTGTAACACTTCTGTGTTGTTAAAAAAAAAAAGAAAAAAAAAAGAAAAAAAAAAGGGATGAAACCATAGGAATCCTCTAACCTTGTGCAAAAAGGGTATTTCCAAATGATAAACGCAAGAGTAGAAAGGCTTTCTCTGACTGTGTTAAGTGTTTAATGGAGACAGTGATAGTTTCCCATTGAGAAAAATCCAGGATATGTTCGTTTTAGTGAAAAACAGCAGTAAATGAAATGGTAACAGAACAACAATTGGTTTCAGATAGTGGCTTTAGGCCCAATGTATCTGTTGATGTACTATCTGATTTAAAATTTCATGGCACCTGGGTGGCTCAGTAGTTTGTTTGAGTGTCTGACTCTTGATTTCAGATCAGGTCATAATCCCAGGGTTGTGGGATTGAGCTTCCTGAGCTGAGCATGGAGCCCGCTTAAGATTCTCTTCTCCCTCTGTCCCTACCCTGCTTACACACTTTGTCTCTCAAATAAAAAAAAAAGTTATCTCATGAATTTTAAACTTTTTTATTTCAATTTATAAAATACACATACATCACATTCTTGAGATTCTGTTTTGAAATGAGTCTACATTTTAATAGTTCATAAATCTTGCCTTATTGTTAGCACTTTTTACTTTAGCCATGTATTAATAAACAGGTTAGTTTATGATTTGAAAATGCTAATGTTTAGTTTCTACCTTACATGATTTTATCACATATTGTGGTTCATGTCCCACAGTTCAGGGACTGACATCGTGTTAAATGATTCCTGTGATAGGTGCCATATTGCACCCAGCATAAAAGCATATTAGTGTTTCTGTTGCCATCCCAGAATAGAGCCAATTGTACCTTCTTCAAAGATAATTTGTCATGATGCAGTCCCTGACAGAATTATACTATAATTAATGTATCAATATTTTATTATGAAACCTAAATCTATATTTGTATTTTGTAACGGCCTATACACATAAACGGAAACTTGTCACACAAAATTGTAAAACAAAGTAAAACCAATCTAAAATAAGAAGACAAAGTATGAAAATGAATAAACATCTGTATTCTTCAGGAACACAGCTAAGTAGTCATGTTAGAATAGTTTAGTGGGGTTTTTTTAATGTTTATTTTTGAGAGAAAAAGAGACCTGGGGGTGGTTGGGAGGGTCAGAGAGTGGGGGATCAGAAGCAGGCTGTGTGCTGACAACAGTGAAGCCAACGACACAGAGCTGGAACTCCTGAACCTGGAGGTCCTGAACTCAGCTGAAGTCTGACGCTCAACCAACTGAGCCACCCAGGTGCCCCAGAATAGTTTAGTGTTTAAATGCACTGTTTTGGGGGCCTAGTTGGCTCAGTTGGTTAAGCGTCCTACTTGGTCTCAGGTTATGATCTCATGGCTCATGGGTTTGAGCCCCGAGTCGGGGTCTGTGCTGATGGTTTGGAGCCTGGAGCCTGTTTCAGATTCTGTGTCTCCCTCTGTCTCTGCCTCTCCCCCACTCGCTCTCTCTCTCTCTCAAAAATAAATAAACATTAAAAAATTATTTTAACGCATTGTCTTTTTACCAGCCAAGCCAAGTCCACCCTTTACCCATAATATGGCTTACATTTAGAGAAATCATTAAACTTTATCTGTCCAAGTCCTCCCTATTTTTCCAATAGAAATAACGCTATTGCCTGTCTCATGGAGTTATGAAGAACACAGAATTTATTATAGGTATGGCCTCATTGGAGTGACTTGTATTTTGTGAGAGCTTTTCAAAGGTGATGTATTCAACTCTTTAAAAAGTGTAATAAGAAACATTGAGTAGATATTTCTAAGTATGAACTAAAATTAGTGGAGAACACTGAATTCCAGCCAACATGACATGTGCCTCATGCCTCCTGTTCCCATGCAGGAACCTGGCTCAGAAGAAGAATTTCACTCCTTGGGATTTTGAAGAATGACCGCCATTGATTTGGTAATGGTAATGATCTTCTTATTACAAACTATAGTTGGACTTGTGGGGAATTTTTATCTTCTTTACCATTATCTCTTACTTTATCTAACGGGATGGGGGTTCAGGTGCACAGATTTGATTCTCAAGCACTTGACTATAGCCAACTCCTTGGTCATTCTCTCTAAAGGAGTCCCCCACATGATGGCAGTTTGGGGACTAAAAGAATTCCTCAATGATATTAGATGCAAATTTGCTTTCTATGTTCACAGAGTGTGCAGGAATGTGTCCATTGGCACTGTCTGCCTCTTGAGCCTCTTCCAGATGATCATCATCAGTCCCAGGGATTCCAGGTGGGGAGGGCTAAAAGTGAAAGCTTCCAAGTACCTGGGCAGCTCCAACATCCTCTGTTGGATCCTGAACATTATGTTTAGTATTATCATTCCTATGTATATAACTGGCAAGTGGAGCCACCAAAATGTCACAAAGGCAAAGAGTTATGACTATTGTTATTCTAGAGGTCCTGACTACATAGCACAGTTACTACATTTAGCATCAGTATTATTCCATGATGGTTTCTGTTTGGGGCTCATGATCTGGGCCAACGGCTCCATGGTCTTAATCCTGCACAGGCACAAAGAGCAAGTCCAACACATTCACAGCAACAATCTCTCCACCAGATCCTCCCCTTAGTCTACAGCCACCCAAAGCATCCTTATCCTCGTCATCACCTTTGTATTTTTGTGCATTCTCTCCTTCATCTTTCACAACTGTTCAGTGATTTTTGACAATCCCAGTTGGTGGCTGATGAACACCACTACACTAATCAACGCATGTTTTCCAACTGTAAGTCCCTACATCCTCATGAGCCATGACTGTAGATTGTCCCGGTTCTGCTTTCTCAAGAAAAGAAATACAAAATTGCTTAAATTTATCATAAATGTGTAAGTAATATGCATATCCACAACAATTAGTTTTTTTATTCATTAATTCATTTGATGGTTTAACCACAATCCTGAAACCGTCATATTACAAGAGGGTGATAAACAACACAGACTAGGCTTCTGCTGTGAAATGAATAAGTGAAATGCAATTATAAATGAAATATTATATGATTATCATATAAATACTACATAATATAAATGTCTTAATATTTGAAGTGAGGGAGTTTGAAACCCATGTACTATTAAAACAGCAGTTCCTGTGGCACAAAAACAGACACATAGACCAATGGAATAGAATAGAAACCCC